AGAAATTGATAAAATATATGATTGAAAAATTGTGAGTCCAATAAAATGTGTAATTAAAATTAATTATTGATTTTAATTTAAATTAAAATCTGAATTGTAATTTTTACCAAACAAGGGCTACTATACAATTTTCGCATTTTCAACGAACTTTCTGCTACAAAATAACTATTAATTACTGTATGTCAAGTAATTTTTCCATAAACTCGTATTATTTGGATGAACAAAATATGACTGGGGATGCATGCATATGAAGTCAAACGTATGCTGAATTCGACTATCAGTTGCACCAGCTTAAGCTGCTAGAGACGAGACACAAAGGTATGTGATCAATGTGTTCCCTCACCAGCGGATTAGGTTCATTTTTCTTCATCAAATGCCCAACACTCAATTTTTATCATAGGGTTGCGGAAAATTGAAAGTTAAAACATACTCTAATACCATATTAAACAACCCCATCTTAAAACGAGACAAACTTACGTAAATTAAGAAAAAATCGAATTTTTCCTTAGCTTCAACATTATATTTATTGAATTCTTCAATCACATAGTTTAACAATTTTCACAAAACATTCTTATCGATTATTTTCATAGGACTTCTTATGAAATTTGTTCTTAGAAAAGACTAAGCCTTTGTTAAAAACTGGGAAAAAATTTGGGTTTACGTGCAAAATATTTTATTATGTGAGTGTCTGGCTGAAAATGAGTATGTAGAAATTTTTTTTTAAAATAATGATTGTCAAATATGGGCTAAGTCAATTCTGATTTCCAAGGCCAAAAAAAGGAAAAAAATAAATAAAAATAAAAACTATTAATAATTATTTTGACTAAGTACAGAGTTCGATTTAGCTTGAAAAGTAGGCGTTTCACTAGAATAACTTTAGCCCCTGTTTGTTTATCATTATTCCAAAAAATTGTTTGTTACAGTAAGATTTTCCACCACACATTCACCAAATAAAATATTCTACATATAAACCAATAAAGTTACTTTACTTTTGAACCACACATTCTCCAAAAAGTACTATTCATTACTTTATTTTTCTGCCAATAATGGGAGACAAACACATCCTTAGATTATAGTGACTTCTAATCATTTTATAAATAATTAAAAGCCTATGCCATTGAAAAAAATAAATGAGATTTAGATTCCTTCAAACATCACTGTAAAAGAGATTAAGGGCGTATAAGTAAACACCCAGTGCTAAATAAACTTGAACGAAAACATGGAGTGTGCCTGACATGCTTATCTCTTCTAACTAGAAGAAGTACTTTCATAAAAGTAGGCAAACGAATTTAAAAACAACTTTTGGATTTCAAAAGCTCATTTTGACATTTCAAAAACTATGTCAAACGGGCCCTAATTAGAATTAAATATGAATGATGAAGTTGAATATAGAAAAACTCAGAATAATTTATATCATTCCTCATCCTATATTCTACCAACATATTAGTATATAACAATCTGAGACATCTTTTTATTATAATCCAAAAGAACCAAAATTCTACAAAGTGATTAAACAAAGAGGAAGTTAGCAATTATTTTCTTCAACCCTCAAATTAAATAAACAAAAAGTCAACAATTATTTTCTTTACCCATAGTTTACGCGTACATCACTAAATTTACTACCATATAATTCTCATTCTCCTAGGCAGCAAGGTCAACTTATTCAATAGGTATGAGGCAATTTATGTGCATGTGCTCGTATATTCTTTTTTTTTTGGCGATGTTATTCTCAACTGGTTTCACTATCAAATTCAAATTTTCTTCGAACTTTCCGCTATAATTGATTATGATTATTATATATCAAGTAACCTTTCAATAGAGAGAGAACATTTCGAAGGTCAAAATATGCATCTGAACCTATTTGAAGTAAAAAATATAAGGAATAAAACTAGTTGTTGAACTAGCTCATCCAAAATATCCCTCTCATTGGGTTTTGCTTCTTTTCCAAAAAACTTTAACGAATGCTTTGACATCATTTGAAGTGACGGAAGATGATTTGATAGAAAAGCTGACTGTGTTTAAAACAGTTCAATAATATACACTGTGGGGCATTATGTCAAACTCTATGTCAAAGAACATGACACTGTAGCATGATCCTCTCTCATTTGTAATTTAATATATATATATTTTTTTTCAATAAATGCCCCACTCAAATAATTTTTATGATGGTGTAGAGGCAAGACTGGAACTCAAAACCTGCTCTAACCTCGTATTGGACCCACCTCACCTCATGTATAAAAGCTTAAACTATCAGCAAGTGGAAATTTTATTTCTTGAAATATTGGGTCTTCTTCAACAGTAATTACTATATATTTGGGTTAATTTTTCTGATTGTAGACCGAGTCTTCAAATACGGGACACTACCAAGCACAAAGCCTACCTCCTGCTTTAACCATTTTGCAGAATGGCTTCTACAATGAAATTGAGTCAATTGTTCTCATTGCTGGCATTCGTTTGCATGTTCCTCATCAATCTGTCATTTCCAGGGTATTCAGCTGCAGACGTAGTGGGAAATGAGACTGATAAACTTGCATTGCTTGCATTCAAGTCCCAAATAATTGAAGATCCTCTTGGAGTCTTGGCCTCGTGGCATGAGTCTTTCCATTTTTGCAACTGGACTGGAGTTTCATGTAGCAATGAACAGCAAAGGGTCATTAATTTGAATCTACAAGGGAAAATATTGTCTGGAATGCTGTCATCTTCGGTCGGGAATTTTTCGTTCATCAACCTACTTGATCTGTCTGGCAACTCCTTCCAAGGTGAGATTCCCCCGGAACTTGGCAAGCTCGGAAGGATTCAAAACTTGAATCTCAGCTATAATCTTCTAGGTGGAGGAATTCCACCTGTTTTATCCAACTGTTCCAGCCTCCAGGGCTTGGCACTAAACCACAACTATCTCATAGAGTCAATTCTACCTGAGCTTGGATTATTATCAGAGCTCAGGAAACTGTATCTTGGAAACAACAATCTCACAGGTACTGTCCCAGCTTCCCTTGGAAATTTATCATCTCTTCAGGAGCTAGATATGTCGTACAACCGGTTGAAGGGTGAGATCTCGAGTACAATATCCCAGTTGATAAACCTTCGAGTATTCCGATTATCAGTAAACATTATTTCTGGGGAATTTCCAGCTCCATTGTACAATTTGACATCCCTAGAATTTATAGCTCTGTCCTTTAACAACTTAACTGGTAAGCTGAGTAACAATATTTATAGGGAATGTGAGCCTCCACGTCATCAGTCTCCAAGTCATTAGCTTCTAGTTTACAACTAATAATTAGTGTCTCAGCTAATTAGCTTAATTACTCAGTTTAATAGCTCAATTAGTTGGTTAAGTTTGTTATTTTTCTATTGTTAGTTTCAAGTCCGTTATTCACTCTTCCTCTCTATTAATACTGTATGAAACTTCACTGAATAAATTGATTTGAGATATCTTTCTCTCTCGGATTTGAGCTTCCTTTCTAGATTTCACATGGTATCAGAGCCGGTGACGACCCAGGGTTGGCGATCGTCTTCCTCGATCTACGAAGGAGAGCTGGAATTTTAACAAAATTGAAATG